ACCAACTTAAGCTCAATGCACTTCAGTGTCCTCACCGCTCTGGGTGGCAGCAATACCTTTCTCACAAGGTCACCGTGAGAATTAAATGAGCACACACACGTGCAGTGATTCGAACGGTGCAACCCGCGTGCTGACGGACACATGCTGAGGCCGTGGCGGGTCTGCGTCCAGGCCTCGGCTCCAAGCCCCCCGCACCTCTCCCACCCACACCACCTTGCGGCTCACCAAGGGTGGGCAGGACAGCCATCCCCCACCTGAGTGAAAGGGCCCCCAACTCCACACAGGCCCAGCAGTCCTCCCCACCCCCGCAGAGACACTGTGGGGAATTATTTCTCCCGGGCCGCGAGGAATGTTGTTTTCTCTACACTTGGTGTCTAGATTACTCCATTTCAATCCAGCCTCCAAGATGAGCCCTGATTAAATTCCCATAAAACCACAGGCAGCATCACTCAGTCTGCGGTGTGCACAGCCCTCCCCAGGGAGGCCGGCGTCCAGTGGCCATCTGTCACCTCCAGCACACGTGTGGGAGGCTCCAGGAAAAGGGCCAGCCAGTCAGTCCTCACCCGCAGCTGTCGTCAGCTCGAAAGGGCCCCAAGCCCTGTGGTCTCAGACACTTCCCCAGCTGCTGCCCCCAGGACCAAGGGGACAAGTCTGTAGCATCCAATCAGAGCCGAGAACCGCTCGGCTTGGGGGGCAGAGCCAGGCCGTGGTCTCGGGCTGCCATCGCCTGGCACGATGCGCCCGGGAGAAGAGGCCGCAGGTGTGTGCAGGCCACCCCGCCGGCCACAGCGCCCTGCTCTCGCCCCATGCCCCCTGGCAGCGCTCTACTTCTGGGAGGCTCCAGGTCTGTGCCGTCTGTGCCTCTGGCCAAGGCTGTGGGTGCAGCCCCGCCCAGAAGCAGTGGTCTATCAGGGAAACCCGTGGCCCAGGCGCTCTGGGGTGTCACTCTGCCAGCCTACCGACCTCTCGCTGTTTCGTAGAAGGACTTACGGCCTCGGTCACAGGCTGGGGCCACACCCCTGGACAGCAAGAGGGAAAATGGTCATTCTAGGTCATTCACCCATGGAGTCCCCAGGCAGGACTCCAATTCTCAGAACGTGGCAGGGCAGACTGCTAGTTGTTCCCCAAAACTCATTCTCCCCTTCTTCCACGTGACAAAGCTCCCCAATCTCAGCACTTCATCCGGGCCCGCAGCTGCCCAGAGCACAGGCCACAGGCCCCCGCCGCCTTGCAGCTCATGCGGGGCAGGTCTGGCCAGCGATGTGTGAGCAGCACACCACGCTGCAGCCTCCAGACCTTTCCCGGACATACCCAGGTGCTTCCCTTCACTTCCCTCTTCCTCGCGCCCCTCCACCCCACGGTCCGGATGGTGGAGGTGCCGGCTGCGGTTCCGGCACCACCTTAGACCAGTGGGCTGGAAGAAGCCTGTCCCTGCATCCCACACAGTCCCAGGTGCCCTTCCTCTGGGCTTATACATGAGAAAGAAATGACATTCTCTCATTTAAGCACCACGACTTTTAGTCTCTATTGCTGCAGCAACTTTAGTACTAATCAAATGTGCAGGTCTGAGACGGACAGGTCTGAGGTAGAGAAAGGACCCGGCTTCCCCTCCAGACTCGGAATGAGAAGAAGAGCTCAGGGAAAGTAAAATGGAGACGGCACCGCTCACCCCGAGGCTGCGCAGGTCCTCAGCGGGTACACGGGGAGCTCTGGGCAGCAGACCTCACCTGTCGCCCACAGCTGAGGCTCTGCGTGCAGGGAGCTAACCCGCTGGGCGTGGACCATCCAGGAGCTCTGCAGCTCTCCCTGGACCAGTCTCCCCTTGTGCCTTCCCGCCCCACCGCAGAGCAGCCTCCCGCCTGCCCCATCTCCCCTGCAGGCGCCCAAGCTCCCGAGGACAGGGAGCAGCTTCAGCGTGGGGGCTGAAGTCTCCACGAAGCCCCTGCTCCCAACACAAAGCGGTGTCCCTTGGATTGCTATAGCTGACGGAGGAATGAAAAGGTAATTACAGCTGTTTACAGCACGCCTGGCAGGGCTGAGTCCCTCCAGGAGCAGCAGAGGGGCGGAGGAGCGCCAGGGGCGTGCTTCCAGAGAAGGTTCTCATCTGCAGAGGAGCCAGCCTCTGGGGGGGTGTGGGGGAGCCCGCAGTCTTCCCCATGAGCAGCCCCGTGGACAGGAAAAGGCTAGGCATCTCAGCCTCTGACAGCCCTCCGGGAAGAATACCAGCCCGGTTCGGCATGCCGATAAGGACAACTCGGGGTGCAGCGGTCACGGCGCACCCAGGCACCCACCCACCCGCCCACACAGTTCCTGCTCGCCTCGGACCAAGGCCATCTGTAGGGCTCGTCCACAAGTTCTTGCCAGTCCTGGAGGCGGTGCCCCAAGCAGGCAGCTTCTGGGCTGACGACATCCAGGTCTGAGGTTTCTTGGACCCAGCAGAGTGGAGTCTGATCCTCTCCCCTCTGGGAGCTGGTCACCAGTCCCTCAGGCCTGTGGCTGGGTGTACGACACCCTCACAACAGGACAAGGGAACGGCCCCTAGAACCTGTCATAGGCTGTGCCCACACTGGATGTCCTTAAGGCATCCTCGCCCTGGCCATTTGGAGCATCATCCTGTACACAAAGGTGGCAGATTTGGTTCCGGGTCAGGGCACATACCTAGGTTTCGTGTTCAACATCCGGTCAGGGTGTGTACGGAGGCAACTGATCGACCTCTCTCACCCCACCCCCTTCCCCACTCTCTTAAAAAAAAAAAAATCAATAAACATATCCTCAGGTGAGAGTTAAAAATTTTTTTAATTAAAAAAAGAAGTGTATTCCCATCTCCTCACTCACCAGCTTACATGCCTTCAATGGCTGCCCACAAAGTCCCCACAACTGCATGAGGTGTTCCAAGCCCCCCACTCTGACCCGATGGCCTGCAAGTCCCTCCCAAGCACCCCACACTTCACTCCCTCAGCAGCTGCCCACCAGGGATGGCCCTGTGTCCCGTGTACCCTGCAGTCCAGCCCCCGCTAGTCCCCTGCTTCCCCGGGCTCACCCCTGACCCCCAACCCTGATGTCTGCCCATAAAGTCAAGACGGATTTCAAGATCCAATCCAGATGCCTCACCCCTTTTCATCATAAGGGAATAGCAACAGCAGCTGCCATTCCGGGGTGACCCCAATGGGCTGGCACCGTGCTGAGTGCCCATCAGACACCCTCCAGTTATCCCCACCCAGGAGCCCATGGAAAAACCACTTGTTATCTACATCTTACAGAAAATGAGCTCGGACTTTGCCAAGACCACACAGCAGCAAAAGCCCAGATTTGGACACAACCTCAGCCTGTCTCCTCCGAAAGCCCGAGCTCTTTGCTCTGAGAAAACCTCCCTAGAGGTGCCCTCCCCGAGCCCATCAGGACCACACGCTTCTACCGGGCGTGTTGAGAACATGAGCCACGGCTGCAGCCTGCACCCCTCCCCCTCATCGGGACGTCTCACCTCAATTCGACCTCCTGTCCCTTCACACATAGTCGGTGTCCAACACACACACCTGGGAAGGGATGGGTTTCCTTTCCAGACCCAACATTCAGCCAAAACATCACCCTAGATCTCCCTTCTCACCAAGGACTCTGGTTGGACAGGAACATAAAGGGAAGGGAAGTGGACGTCGTCACGGACCATTCCAGATCCGAGGAGGACAGGATGCTCGGGTGCTGGAAACGCCTGCCCACTTGCCCTCCATGCCCTGGAGGTCAGGTTCATGCTCTGCCCCCCTGCCCCCAATGAATGCCAGGCACCCAGGGAAACAGGCCTCGAGACCCTTCCAGGACAGTCAGGGCACGCTCATTAGATACAAGAACTCACCACTCCCAGCCAGGGCCCGTGCGCGGCCCTATGCCGGGCGCTTGCTGGATGCAGGGCCCTCTGGCCATGGACGTGAAAGTCAAAGGTTAGGAGCCAGGGAGCCTGAGGGACACCTGGCTGAATGCTGGCTCTACGCACAGGCTGTGTGATGTCAGTCTGTGTGCTTACTCTCTGAGCCTCCGCACCTATCTGTAAAACTAGGCAGGAGACCATGCCCTTCTTTATGAGCTCAAGAGAGAGAATGTAAGGAGAGGGCTTAACCTGACCCCAGGCACCTGGCACACACGGATCAATGCTGTTGTCATTATCCCAGTACGGTCCTGTCAGCCAAACTCCCCATCACACAAAACAATGCCCGAGGCCAAGTCACCTCCAGGCCAGGGTCCGCGGCAGTGTGCGTAGGCCACGCTCACGGTCTGGATGGCAGACAGGGGCTGCCTCTCCTACCCGAGATGAATCCCCACAAAGCCCCAGGGCACAGGCAAACACATCTCCTTAAAATTAAACACGAGTGCTCGGCAGGGAATGCTTGGGCTGGCAAAGAGAACTAGGAGGTCACTGTTAACATGAATCTTTCCAAAAAGCATAAACAAACACCTTGGAAAGGCCGCCTGCCTCCCCCGGAGCTGCCCGCCCAGGGGGTGGGGAGGTGAGTCCCCAGGGACCGAGGCTGCAGCTGGAGTTCCCGTGGCAAAGAGGGTGGCTGCCGCGGGAGAACACAGCGTACCCCGAGAGGTCCAGCCGCCACAGTACATCTCCATGTGTTTGATTAAAGGCCCTTTAATTTCTCTGTTTGTCTCCTTCGCCCAGTTACGTAACTGCACTCGCCGGCCTGCCGCTGGGCTCGTCACACACACTCTGCTCTCGAACCACTGTGTCGTGGGGACACTTCCTCGCCCTCCGTGGCTTCAAGACAACAAAACAAAGCTGTGTTGAAGTGAAAAGCCAGTGCTCTGGGGCTTTTATTCCCCAACTGTGCTGGCCACAGAGGGCGAAGGAAGGGCCATCCCCAGAATGTGTGACCCCTGGACTTCAACTGCGTCCTGTCCCAAAGCTGAAAAAGCCCAGAGCCCCTCTCGCCGCCCCATGCAATGACTGCCTACGACCACAGAGACGGGCCACCTGCCGTGGGCGCAGAGCCTCGGGTCCTTACCTTTCATGTAGGCCTCAATCTTCCGGATGAGCTCGTAGGACTTGGAGCGGTCGAGCAGGGTCCTGATGGCGGGAAGGGGGTCCAGGACAATGGTCTCAGGGTGGGCGTCGATGTATTCCTGAGAGGAAAGCACACCCCTTCTGGTTAGGGAGGGGAGGCTGACGCTGAAAGGTGGGGGACAAGCAAGACTTCATCCCACACGCCCCACCTCACCCTCCCTGTCCTCTCAGTTCCGAGTGGGGCCTCCACCCACGCACCCCACAGGTCACAGGACTGGGGTTAGACCCCTCAGGGCATTCTGCCACCTGGGGCCGCTGGCTCAGCAGAGGACATGTGACCTGAGCCGGTCCAATCAGAGGCGGGCTCGGAGCTCCTGCTGAGAATTCTGGGAAAAGAGCGCTCTCCTCACTGAGAAGAGGAAGTGCAGACACTGGTCCACTGGGAGCAGATTCCATGGGATCTAGGGGAGGTCTGACGGAGCCCAAACTGAGAAAATGGGTCCAAGAAGGACAGAGCAACAGGTTCTGATCAGCTGTTTGACCCTAGACAGAGCCGTGCCCGAGGCCAGCGCTGCTCCGCGTGCGGCCACACCCACAAGTTCTTTTGTTTACTTGTTTTTTAATCCTTACCCAGCATATTTTTCCATTTATTTTCAGACAGGGTGGAAGGGAGGGAGGGAGGGAGGGGGACAGAGAGAGAGAAACACCGATGGGAGCGAGACATCGACTGGCTGCCTCCACACGACTCCGAGGCACATGCCCTTGACCGGATCAAACCGGCGACTCTGGCCTGCGGGCCAATGCTCTAACCACGAAGCCAAACCGGCCAGGGCAACACTCATAAGAGTCTAAGGCTGGGCAGCGGCGAGGGAAATGTCAGGATTTGTTAGGTCTGTGGGAAGGCCTGGCATTGAGACACTTGCCAGGGCGACCCCCTGGCCCTGGAGTGCCCCCTCCAGCAAGGGGTTTCCAGTACAGACTAGCTTCACGGAGAACACGGAAATGCAAGGGGAACGGGACCAGCTGAGGGAAGTTGCCATCTTCCCAGGGAAGAACCAGTGTACACGGGAGCCAGAAACAATGATCTATGACAGAACTCAACAAAGACAGCAACATGTTTCTAGGAAAAGGACCGGGGGGTCTTGGCCCTGCCGCCCGTCACCTCTGTGACTACAGGAGCCTCCAGCCACACGGGTGGGCTGCAGCGAGCTTGTCAGGCAGACACAGAGCCTGAGACCGTCTCTCTGGCCCCAACACCACACGTCTAATGGTAAAGTGTGGACTGCTGGAGGGACGAGGGAGGAGCTCAGAGAGCAGACTGGGTTTGGAAAGCAGGCCATTCAACAGCTGTTGATACTGTGAGCTGAACTGTGTCCCCGCCCCTGCCCCTCAACAGATCTGTTCAAGTCCGAAACCCTGGTCCCTGTGAATGTGACCTTATTTGGAAATAGAGTCTTTGGAGATTTAATCAAGTTAAGATGAGTTCATACTGGATTAGGATGGGTCCTGATCCATTGACTGGTGTCTCTAAGATGAGGAAAACGTGGACACGGAGACACAGGGAGAGCACAGCAATGGAAGTCAAGTGGCCACGAGGCAAGGTGGGCAAGGCCGACGGGCCACCACGGAAGCTAGGGGAGAGGCACGAACAGGTGCTCCGAGTGCCCCGGAGGAACCAACCCCGCAGACACCCGGATTTTAGCCTCCAGCTGCCTTCCCTGTGAGAGGATACATTTCTGTCATTTCAAGGCTCTCAGTCTGGGGTACTCTGTAATGGCCACCCCAAGGAATGAGTACATCAGCCTAATTCACCTGCCTCCCCGCCAGTCTACAAGATCAGCAAAGGCAAGGGGAAAAAGCCATAATGCTTCTTTTCTAGTAAACTTTATCAGTGAAAATAAAGCTCCGTTTAGAATTATCCTTCTTTTTGGTGAACTTGTTTTGGCTCCTAGCAATCATTTTTAGGAGCTCTCAAATGCGAACGCCAGAGATCCGTATCTATTCCTCTGAAGTCTGTCCCCACTGCGTCTCATACCAGAGGATCTGGTTATGGGCTCGTTTGTGTCCTTTTCTCTGAGTGTTTAAAATAAGTCTCCACACACGCGGCCCCTTCCCGTCGCCACCCCCTGCACCCCTGGGGCCAGCGTGCTCACCCTCAGAAGGTCCTCGCCCCGGACACACTCTGCAGGTCTACGTGCAGGACCCTTTCACGGCCTGCTCCCTCCTCCTGAGGAAGGTGACGGCCAGCAAGTCAGCTCAGCGACTGGCCACTGCCCTAGTCTGGCAGAACGAGCCAGCAGCTCATGCAGCCCACATTTGCCACCCACAGGGGACATGGGGACAAGCTGTGAGGTGTCCTTAAACCCCCCAACGGGCTCCCCATCGGCACCACCCGCGTCAGATCCTGTTCTTCTGAGCCAGGTCTGTGCTGCCATAACAGCATGTCATTCAGGGGACACCGGGACTCACTCATGGCCTCGTGTTGAAAGGTCATCCACTCAACAAACATCACATCATCGACAGTGCGCGGCATCGTGTGGCCTGCAGCAGACACGTGGACGAGCTAACGCCTTCAAGGCGTCTTCGCTCCGCTGGTCCATCATCCAGCCGACAAGTTCGTACTCGGGTTATGAACCAAGAGCACCGAACTGTCCTCCCCCTCCCCCAACACACTGGCAGCGCCGGGCGTGGAGGGGAGAGGACGGGCCCAGAAATCAAGAAAACTGGGCTCCCATTGTTGTCACCTCCCAGTGTCACCTTGGGCAAGCCACTTGGTCTATCTGGGTCTCGGTGTTCTCGTCCCTGACTCGAGTCTAAACTGGAGAAAAGCGAGGGCCGGTGTTGATGAAGGCCGACTTCAAGGCCACACGTGGGGCTGTTCTAGAACAGACAGCCACCGGCTAGAGACATCACAGCTCAGGGTAGGGACACACAGCCTCTCCTCCTTCCTTCCAAAAGGAGGTGGGACCGGAGACACTCCCATGGACGGCCTGGCCCGATTCTCCCCCAGCGACTGAGTGCCATAAAGCAGGGCCTCCTACCGCCTCCCCTCAAGTCCCCCCAGTCCCGAGAAGGGCGCAGGGTAGTCGCTGGTTCTGGCTCCACTTTGTGCCTTGGGGCAGTGACCTTTAAAGAGGGAACTCAGAGTCACTAAGACAGGAATTTGAGCCGGACTCATGAGGGGAAGAAGCTAGAAGAAAGGGAAACTATGTGACAAGCAGGCGCCGACCAGCCTTTGACCCGGGATGAAAGCATTAATAGAGGAATTATTCCTAAACTTGATCTCTTTGGGGACAAGGACAGAGAGGGCAAAGAAAGAGCTTTTCCAGTCACCCCACTATCCACAAGTGGATTTTCTTCCAAGCTTTTCAGCTTATCTATTGTATCCCAGGCCTCATGCATTTTTCACAAGTCTCTTAGAATTACCAAACGAATTCCTGGAGGGGGAGCGCCCTGGACCGTTTTATCACCACTCAGAGGGGAAAAGACCCAAACTGTCTCCGCGGCAAGTGGTAAACATGTCCCCTCAGAGGGCCTGCCGCAGAGCACCTGGGGGGGTTCTGGAAGTGAACCGGGGGAGCCTGGATCTGAGCAGACTTTAAGAGTTTGTTTGGAAAAGCAGAAACACAGCCTTGGGTCAGCGGGGCCAGGGGTGGGCTAGAGCACGCCAACTGCTTGTGGAGGGGACAAAGGGGCAGCAACCCAGCCCGCAGGATACCATACAACAGGGAGTCAAGGTTTCCCCTCTGAGAAGCAGAGCCCATGAGAAGACTCGGATGAACATCTGAGATACTACTTCCTCTGCAGTTCCATTTATGGACAGGAAATGAGCAGGGATTGAGATACAAGAATTTGCTCTCATCTAACAGAAAATGCAGGTGGAAGTCCTCAGTTCAAATCCGGACTCTGCCATTACTCTATATAGGTCTGTGGGAAAGAAACCGCAGCTCATCTCTGAGACTTTCCTTGTATATAAAGTAATAAAAACTACCTCAGGGGGGCGCTGTGGGCAACAGGGGATCATGGCTATGAGAGATTCTCCTGATTCTGCAACACATGGACTCTCAGGGCCAAGCCTGACCTGAGGTCTCTGCTCATCCTGCCCCAGCCCACCCAGCAGACAGCGAGGGGCAGGCACCAGCTGGGCACCTGGGATGAGCGGCTGGGCTGTCCCGGCCAACGCCCCTGCTCGTGCCAGCAACAGGACACAACCCCACCCCACAGCAGCACAGGCTCCAGGGAGCGCCCCTCTGCAAACAGCTCAGTCCTGACAGAGTCCCCAGTGACAGCCGCAGCCACCAAACCTCCTCACATGTAAGAAGTGCCCACTCACAGTTTCTGCCCCTCGACTCTCGGGAGGTAACGAGGGCTCTGGCCCACTCCCCCGACACACTGCAATCCCTTTTTAGAAAGTGGCAATTTGTTTTTCAAAGGTGTATACAGAAATAGTTTACAGATTAAATATGATGTCTGGTATTTGCTTCAAAATAACCGGGCTCAGGGCGGGCAGAGAAACAGGTGGGGCGGAGATGGACGTGGTGGTCACTGGTGCTGACTCTGGTGCTGGTGCTGGTGCTGGTACTCGGACGGCACAGCAGCATCCCCTCCTCTGAGTAACTCTGGACTTGCCATAGTGACGGGTTTGGGGGGACCTGGGGGAGGGGGCTCAGTAATCAGATCCTCCCTTTCTTCAACCCATGTACCCCTGGATGTGTCAGAAACAGGTTCAGATACCAACACTACCTTTTAGGAAGGAGCAAGACTCAGCTATCCAGATGGGAATCCTGATCATGGATTAATTACAGAAAATAAATAGTAAAAATAATCAATAGCTACCACAGACCCGGGATTCACGACATGCATACCATCCTATAAGGTAAGAGCTAAAACTAAGACTCTTGGATGAAAACATGGATGTAAATCTCCCTGACCTCGAAGTCTACACTGGCTTCCTCAGCGTGAAGAGTCGTCACACTGGACCAAGTCTCTGCACCAAGAACACAAACAGACCAGCAGACAGACCTCTCTCAGCTGAGTAACCAGTGACACGACTGGATGTCCGAGTGCAGTGGCCCCAGGGGAAGGACGGGCAGGATCTCAGGGCAGGCAGGTGCTGGAC